CTGCACCAAAATAAATCATCAGAGACTAAAAAATAACTTTGGTAGTGTCTTGCAGTATCTGAAGTTTTCACTGCTCTGGAAATTTAAAGTCTCAAAAACACACAAACTTTATTTCAGATTATTTGGAGATAACGTTAGACTTGAGAATTGAGTCAGTAAAGCTATATTTTTCCGTCTTCCTGATAAAACTTTTGTATAGTTATTAATAATCCCCCAAAATCGAGGAAGTCTGCACCTCTCCTCCCAGGGAAAGATGCTTTTCCTCAGCAGAGACTCAGAGAAAGGAAGTGGAATGTTGGGAAGCCTACAACTAAGGCACAATGTTCTCTAACCCAAAAGTTTGCAAACTGGGCTATGTACACCCTGGGGATATCCAAAGACTTTCCTATGAGAAATCAGGAAAAGATAGTTTTAGGAGAAACAATTTCTACTCCTCAAATTTCCTCTGTACTCTCCTAAAACTTCTCTTCCTAAAAATGTACTTGGGGTCATGATGAGTCTTAAGCACTGCTATTCTCCCTCCATTTTATATGACTCTTTATTTTTACAAAGAAAAGTATATATTTTTTTCACCATCTGGTGTCTTCTTAGGGTGCATTGAACTTAAGAAAACATAGGAGAAAAAAGTGACAATTTTAAGTATTGTCTAAACATTGACATAACAAATGGTTTTGGTGACCGGGCAACCAATCTGAGTGCATGTCAGCTCCCCATTCTTTGCTGTCAACACAATTGAGTTGTCATGAAAAGTTTATCAGAAACATTTTTGGTAATAGATCACCATGTGATTTTTGACAAGTAACTCTGCAGAAATGCAAAGAAAAGTGATATGGCTATTGTAACAAATCCCTCCCCTTCCCATCTACTTTTATGGACAAGTTTGCTAAGGACAAGAGAAGACATGGCATGAATTAAAGAAGGGAAAAAAAAAAAAAGCAGAATCTGTACCAGAAAATGATCAGAAATTGGAGAGGAAGCCATAATAAACGAGCCTGTTCAGCTCATCTCATTTAACTAGAACCAATTCACTCCTGGAATTGTTAATATTTAAATCGGGGTGCAGAAGCTACCCAATTTGAATTTGAATATTTGAGAACTTCAAGTCTGAATTTCTTTGTAATAGAAAGAATTTTGGTGGTAGGAGTGGGCAACGGACAAGAATTCTACCATAGCCTTACAAAGTACTAAGTTTTCTAACTAAGGAGGCAAAAACAAAGAAAGCTACTCAAGAGTCCAGTGGACACTTAAATAGGAAATAGCATTGTACCAGGGTGCAGTAGTGCAGGCCTGTAGTCTCAGCAACTCCAGAAGCTGAGCCAGGCTGATTACAAGTTCAAAACCAACCTTAGCAATTCAGTGAGCCCCTAAGTAACTTAGAGAGACCCTGTCTCAAAATAAAATATAAAAAAGAGGGTCTGGGTGCAGTGATAAATGCCTGTAATCCCAGAGGCTTGGGAGGCTGAGGCAGGAGGATCTTGAGTCCAAAGCCAGCCTCAGCAACTGCAAGGCGCTAAGCAACTCAGTGAGATCCTGTCTCTAAATACAAAATAGGGCTGGAGACGGGGCTCAGTGGTTGAGTGCCCCAGTACCAAAAGATATACATACATATATGTAAAGGGCTGGGGAAGTGGGGAAGTGGCTCAGAGCCCCTGGATTAAAAGTGGCTTAAGTGCCCCTGGATTCAATGCCTAATACCCCCCCCCAAAAAAAATGGTCGGTTTATATTTTTGTTGCTTTTGGATACACAAACTATCTAAAAACTGACAATTTTACATACAGTATTTTTTACTGTGATGAAAAATGACTGAATTATCAGGTAGTACTAAGGATATGTTCATTCTTTCTTTATCACCGTTGAGTATATTGTCACTACAGAAACCCTCTTTTTTATATTAAAAAGGTGTGAACAAATAAGTCTCAACAAACAAACAAAAAAAAGCTTCTAAATCTTTGGGCGATGCTTCCAAACATACATCTTCTGACTTTTTTTTCCTTGTCATGAACTATAATGCTCCTCATTCGTCTTTCCTCAAAGGAAATTTACAGTTGAGTGTGACTATCTCTGCTTAGAGCCAAGTGCATCTTTCACACAGGCAGCCAACTTCACATAGATTCAGGGATGATCCTTTGAAGGAGCCAGAAGAGCCGTATCATTTTATCCTCATGCATGACTGAGGGGTATAAAATCCCCATTCCACCTCTAGGACTAGTGCATAACCCACAAACATACACACAAACAACAATGCTGGTGAGATTTAGCAAACTAGAGGGACTATCAATTGAAATTTTCCACTCTGAAACAATTTCATTAGAGATGGCAGTGCTGGAAACGGTATTTTATAGTTGACTTCCACCAAATTACAATGCAGCTCAGATTCAAAGTCTCTATTATCTTTGGCAGAGGTTTTTAAGACCATTTTTATTTACTCCAAACTCTATATGAACAAAGCCAGCACAGGTCCTTTGCAATTTTTACATCAAGCACTTCATGCAGTAATTAAGTAAATAAAAGATCTCAAAGAAAGCAACAAGAGAAAGCACCAGACATCACTTACTGATTGGTAGAATTTCGGGGATTTAAAATTTCTGTTTTACAACTGCACTTTATTACTGTTTTATCCTTAAGATGTAATAAGTCCCAACTGCTTCAGTAAGGATGAAGAAGCCTTCACAGCTTTAATGAAACATTTTATTTGCTATTGAAACTTTTATTATTTCCAAATGGTAACGGACAAGAAAAATAATCACCACTTCTATTTGAAAAAAAAAAAAAAACTTTCAGTAATTTTAATTGTTTTGTTTTGGGATAGATTTTAAGGCATTTATATTTGTTATATTTATGCTTACTGTTTTAACTTAGTTTTAATGGACTAAAGAAGTATATACATATACACCCTATTACAAAATTATTAATTGAAATACTAGATAGTTATATACAATTATGCACCATCAAATAAATATTGGTCTATTCTGAATAAGAACATCTTGGCATTTAAGATCCTGTATATCCCAGCTGCTGACCATAGGCATGTGACAGTCACAGGTAAGGGACAAAGGCTTGGAAGTAGAACTGCCTGGCTTTGTATTCCAATTCTGATCCTTCCTAGCTATGCCGTCTTTAGCAACTTCTCAGTTCTCAACTTCCTTATCTGTAAAAATGAGGGTGACTAGAACCCATCTCATGGACAGTGGGAAGAATCAATGAGTTATTTCATATAAACCATTAGAATAGAGACTGACACATGGTAATCAATTAATAAATGTTTAGTTCTAACATGGTTTACATAGGTGAACAGATGCACTTCTAAACAGGATGTACTATCAGAAAATACCATTCATTCTCATACAATTGTTGAGTTTTACTTTATTCTGGACACCGTGCTAGGTACAGAGGGAACAAAGATTAATAAGATGTAGTGCCTCCTTCTCCAAGAACTTAGTATTGTAATGCAAAATATTTATTACTATCTTCATAACTTTTTTGAAGAGTACAAGAAGGATACTCTTTCACTAAATCACAAATTTGTTTTTTCCCTCTTGTACTTGGAACTAATAGAGCTTCAGAAAAATTTGACTTCAGTTTCTGAAATCTTAATCATGCACAATTTAATAAGCAGCTTCAGGTTTTTCCACATTTTAAAATAGATGATTAAATGGTCTAATCAGATTCTAACTTAGCCAAAAACTTGAAAAACAGGAAGACAACCATGACTGACACATTCATTTTCTCAAATGTGGATGTACTGCAAACAGCAGCTGCAGAAAAATAATGCTATTTGCATCCCACATGACCCATGGCCAACTAAATTGCACAGGAATTCAACTTCAAAACATTAAAGTACCTAAATGAAATTCCATTTAAGATAAAACATGAAGCTCATTTAGTCATAACTTCATCAACTTCCAAAAAGTTCTGAAGCTGACTTCCAACAGGACACCTTATAGGGCTTGGCTTTTTCCAAATGCTTATGTCCCTACACTCAAGAGAATTTATTCAACAAGTTCGACTATAAATCCCAAGAACAACTAATGTGGTGTTACAGACATCACAAACTCCAAATGATCTTAAATATGTTGTCTTTTGCTAATTTGCTGCTCTAGAAAATGTGCAATAAATGCAATTAAAAAGGAAAGCATTTTTAAATTACTTGCAAGACCAACTAGGATATTTATCTGCCTACTAGATGTATCATAATAAAAAACCCATCTAATATGCATTACATTGCTTAATTCAGAAGGAAATTGGATATCATCCCTTCCAAAAAGAAAGAAAGAAAGAAAGAAAGAAGAATGGAGACTTTTTTGTGAGTGTGCCATAGTCAATAATGACAATGTTAACTTTCTAGAATATACTAAATATTGACAAAATAGATCTTGTAAGGAGTCACCCTACCCAAGGGAAATCATGTATAAACAAATAGGCACATATCGCCCTCCTCTTGCCATCCTTTGCTGTGTCATATCACTTTCCTTGGTTATAATCCTTTTAAAGGACCCTTGTGATCCCTTTTGAGATTGAGAAGATAAAAATCCTGACATAAAGGCCTCCCCTCACAATGAGACCTTCCTCAACATGGAATCAACTCACATCTCTTTTAGATGCAAGCCGCTAGGTGAAAATTTATCTCCGATTCAAATCTCCAAACGAATGCATATTTTGGTAACCTATCCTTTTGCATTTAAACACATATGTTCCACACCACAGGATCGTCTTCATCCTAGCTAAAGTCCCTGCTTAATGTATGCGTTTTTCACAATCATTTTTTTTTTTAATCTTTCCAGGCTGAACGTTTTAAAATGGGGCGAAAGTCGGTGAAAGAAGGGGAAGGAGGGGATACGATGCTGCAACCTAGAATACGTATTATTATTTTTTTTTTTTTCTCTCTCCCCAGCCCTCCCTCTCTCCCCCTCTCTCCCCTCCGCAGCAGGAGGGAGAAGGAGGGGCCGCTGGCTGGAGCCGCCACCTGCCGCAGCGTGGAATAGCTCCAGTTGTCACTTACCCAGCAGGGTGAGAATGGCTCATTTTTGCAGGATCCCTTTTGGACCCCGAGGCAGGTGCGGTGGGTGGGTGCGTGGGGCCCGGTGCACACTGGCGCCCAGGCAGTTGCGCTTGCGGGGTGGCTTCGCACTGCGGTCGCCAGTGCGTGGGGCACCTGAGCTGGGCCGCCGCCCCTCGGCTCCCGGGCTCCCTGCAGCCTCCCGGGCCCCCACCCTCTGGCGGTATCCACAGCCTCCCGGTTGCTAGGAGAGGAGGAAGGCAAGCGCCTAGGGTCTGGAGCAGAAGCACTGCTGGAACCCAGCCTGGGGAAACTGGAAGTGAAGCCAGCTTTCCCTTTTTTCTGGGCCCTGAGATGGGAGGAGACCCAGACGGGTCCCCTCTCTGTTGCTCTGTGGGCATGGGTTCCCTGGCATTCATAATCTGAAAACACAAACACACGGGGATGTGGGGGAAGGGGAGGCAGAGCGCGCGCGCGCGCACACACACACACACACACACACACACACACACACACACACACCTGTTTTGGCCTGTGTGTTTCATGTTAGACCCTGGGGAAAAAAAGAACTGGGTGAATGTGTGAAAGTAATAAGAGAGGTACAGCTACAGGGAGATGGTAGCGTTTCCAGTCCTAAAACAGACCCTAGACTGTAAGTTTAAGGGTAGAAAAAAATCTCCTTCTCATTTCCATGTGGGTTTTGACTTTGTTTCTGCCTGTACAGGCCTTCTTTGTTTTTGTTTGAGGTCCCTGCTCACTCTAAGCTCAGTAGGCTAGCTGACAGCTTTGATGTTCAGAGGTAGAAAAGATGCAGTTGTTCAGGAAAGCATGCTGGGACAGTAATTGTAACCATATAGGAATCCAGGTCTAGAATGCAGGTCTCAGATGAAGACGCCTGCATTTAAATGAGAGCGCCTTGGTAGGAGCAAGTTTAAGTGCTGGGTTCAGGTGACCCTCTCTTTGGATTGATCTTGCTCGGTCAGGTTTTTGCTCCATCTCTGGCTTCAGGAATCGGTTCAGGAATATCTGGAGTATCTGAGCTACCTGTGGGTCTCCATTCTAGCTCATTCACACTCAGAGGTGAGAAGGACATCACCTCTTTCATGGCATTCTGCTTTTCCACATGAAGGCCCAGCAAGCCTTTCAATCTACTTATGATGACATTCAAGGCCCTCCATCATCTGGCCCCAGTATCCTTCATCAGCCTCACTGTGACCACTTTCTACACCTCCACTTGCCTTCAAATCTAGCAAAACCAAATGCTTGCACTACCCCTATAATTGGAATATATGTCTACCTTTAACTACAGGGAAACCTTTTATTTATCATTCAACACTCAGTTTGAACACTGTCTTCTGTGACATCCTCAAGTTTGCTGATGACACTGGTTTGTGTGCCCTCTTGACCTGGACATACCTCTATTTTACACTCACCATTGAACTACACTTGCTGGCATATGTGGTTTCCTTTGCCCTTTGCATGTGAGCTCCTCTCTTTTGCAAATTTACTTTATTTCTCTATGTTCTCAGAAGCATGCAGCATTGACGAATGTTTGGAGCAAAAATGGAGTGAAAGAAATATCTTCTAAGGTAGAATTTTAATTAAGTACTTAGTAAATGTTTCTCTTGACTTTTTATTGAGCACTTACTAACATTATCTCATTTAATCCTCATCTTCACCTCTTGAGATTGGCTTTCTCCTCCATTTCATAGCTATCCAAAACCGAGGCACAGAGAAGTTAATAATTTTGCCTGAAGTCTACAATAGCTGTCAAATAGAAAAACTAGGATTCAAATCTAGATCTGCTTGATTCTAAGAGCTGTAATTTTAACAACTATAGTGAGATTTATTTTCCCCATATTTCTTGCAAATTGTTGCAGAATTCAATATTTCTTATGCCATCAAAGACTTCAGACCTGAAAGACCAGAGACATGGGGGTGGGGGAATTGAGGAGGATGCTAGTTCAATAGCTCAGATCTTGAGACTGAAGGATTCAGGGTTACTTTGGGGACCAGATGGCTAGAGCTAGAGATTAAACAGAAGTCCTCTCTTTCCCCATATGCTTAGCCTCCACACATCTGACTGAGTCCCATTTGAGATTGCCCTTAATGCTCATCATAATTAGATTTCACCTGGATAAAAATCTAAAACACGGGGGGGCAGGGAGAAAGAGGAGAAGGGACTAGAAAGAGACATAATTTTCCAAAGGTGCTGCCTATCCCTAAGGAGGATGTAAATAATATAATCTTATATAGGTACTACTTGTTACATATTAATTCATTTTTTTCAAATAGAAAGTGGTATTCTCTCACTGGTAGAATGAGAAAGGAAATTAAAGTACACTATTTAGATACTTGGGATTCTGTAGAAATGATTCCCTGGCACTCTGCAGACAGTGAGGTACCCTCAACAGCATGCATTAATTCATAAATGGGGTTTGAGTTCTCCACCCCTGTGAGCTGCACAATTTCACATGCCTGATGAAAACTGCAAGGAAGCTACTAATTTTCACTTCAGAAAATGCTCACTGTGAAAATGCATTGGGAATTTAGCCAGAAGGAATTTTTATGTTAATTTCGTGTATGGAGAAAGGGAAAGGGAATAAAGAAAAAACTAAATTAAACGGTTTCAAGACCAAATAGTCACTGAAGTCATTTTCATTTTCTCTCAGGAAAACAAGCCCCCAGCTATTCCCAGTAGTATCATAAATTCATAAAAAGATTTCTGTTTTGTAGAAAGACCTTTGGAGTGGGAATTGGGGTCAAGAGATGAAGAGAAGTAGAAGAGGAGGTAAGGCAGGATTACACCTCCACTGTTGATTGCATCTCCACTTTGGGTGAACCAGAGAATGATAGAGCTAAACTCTCAGTGACCATATCCTAGATCAGGGGTGGGTATTCTATGGCTTGCCAGCTAAATCCAGCCCACTGCTTGTTTTTGTACAACCTGAAAAAAGCAATGGTTGCTACGTTTGTAAATGCTTGGGAAAAAAAATCAAAAGAATATTCCAGTATGCAAACACACCGATTTTTGTGCAAATCAGTTACTGATGACCTTGTACAACAACAGCAATGTTGAGGAGTTACAACAGTGACCCTATGGCCCACAAAAACCTAAAATATTTACTATCTGTTTCTTTACAGAAAAAAAAAAAAAAGCAAACCCTAGTCTATATTATCTTTACAAAGAGGTAATTTATCCTCACAAACTTTGAGAACATGTGCCACCCTTTTTTAACCTTGCATTCCCAGAACCTATCACAGTGCCTGGGTCCTGAATAAGCAAATAAATGAATATATTGGAGAAATAAATATGTCTATATGCTTATCTTTCTTGTGAAGAAAACAAATCAGGTAACCAAGACTTTACCTTTTTTTTATTTTTTAGAGAGAGTGAGAGAGAGAGAATTTTTTTAATATTCATTTTTTAGTTATCGGTGGACACAACATCTTTGTTTTTTGTATGTGGTGCTGAGGATCGAACCCGGGGCCACACGCATGCCAGGCGAGCGCGCTACCGCTTGAGCCACATCCCTAGCCCGACCATTACCTTTATAAGATGGTTACATTTATAGGACCTTGTTCTGATACCTTACATTCCCCAAAGTTAGATTGGGTTGCTTAAAACTGTAGCATCAAGATGCTTGGAGAACAGAGTCAATGTGCAAGGATTTAACTTTAAATTATTGAAAACAGGAATTCCGTGCCCTGAAATTGCATCAGAACTGCTATACTCTCATCCCCCAAAATTTATATGCTGAAACTTAAACACCAATGTGATAGTATTAAGAGGTGGAGGCGTTAAAGGGTGATTAAGTTGTGAGAGAAGAACCTCATAGATGGGATTAGGGCCCAAATAAAAGGCTTTCTTCTTCTTGCCACATAAGAACAAAGCACTTGGTCCCTCAGAGGATGCAGCAGCAAGAAATCACATTGAAAGAAGTGAGCATCTCTCACCAAACACACTGGCACTTTGATTTTGGACTTCCAGGCCTCTACATTTATGAGAAATAAATTTCCATTATGTATAAACTATGCAGTCTGTGGTAGGTGTTTTATTATAGCAGCACAACGAGACAGAGACACCAGTCTTCTCTAATAAGCCTGATTCCAGTGAGCCATTTAATGAAGCTTAACATTAGAAACAGGAAAGGCTGAGAGGAAACACACAATGGCTAAATGGACAGACTCAAAGGGGCATTTTCCTAATGTGGAGTTCTCAGTAGCTTGGGTAGGCAAGGTACCGCTAGATCCTTCCATTCCTATTTCTGAGCCAGAAACTGCAAGCAGATCAAATGGAATGGGGACAAAGGATTTATTTGGAGGCCATGGGAAACAATGGTTATTTACTAGGCAAGAGGTCTCAAAGATGAATGGAACTCCTGTCTGCCTTCAAACTTGAAGTCTGTTGGCTATAAAGACCCGTAGTCAAAGAATGACAAAGCAAAATGATAAATGCTATGATGGCAGTCTGTATAAAGTGCAATGCAGAAGTCTCCTCTGACTAAAATGCTTGCTTCACACCCATCCCCCCACCATTTCCAGTCACATACCCACTGCTTGTGATGCTAAACATCACTTTATATTATTACTTCCTCTAGCCTTGTGCTATGGCTAATTTTAGGTGTTAACTGGACTGCAATGAGGAATGCCCAGGGTGTTTCCAGAGGAGGTTGGCATGTACGTCAGTGGACTGAGTAGGGAAGATCACTTCAATGTGAATAGGCACCTTCAAATCGACTGGGGCACTAGATAGAAAACCAAAAGGCAGAAGGAGACTCCCATGTTCTGTCCACTGGAGTGGCAAACCTTCTCCTCCTCCCTCTTGGACTCTAGAACTTGTACGTGCTAATCGTCATTGGGCTCTTGGGCCTCTGGCCTCAGTCTGGAGGCATGTCAGCTTCTCTGGTTCTGAGGCTTCTAAATTTGAACTGAGCAACATTACCAACTTCTCTGGTTCTCCAGCTTGAAGACAGATTGTTGTGGGACTTCTCAGCCTCCATGATCATAGCCAGTTCCCCTAATATATAAATGTCTTTGCTTTATAAATTATCTAGCCTCAGTTATTCTGTTATAACAACAGGAGGAAACAATGAAGGTACCTTAATACCCTAATTATTTCTAACCATCTAGTCCCAGGATTCTACATTAGGAAAGGAAAGAGACTGGCAGTAATGGAGACATGAGAGGGAGAAGAGAAAGAGAGGCTGTTAAGGAGAATAACTACTAAGAGATTTGCAAGACACAATACATACATTCCCGACCCCACCTAAAAATTTGTCTAGAGAAGTTAAAAAAGAACTTAAAGAGAAGGCAGTGCTCAAAATCAGTAGAAATTGGCCGGGGAGATGGGACTCAGGTGTAAGAGACAGGACTTCCCCCAGCTAAGTTCTCTCCATCTAAGTCTCTCCAGCGGAGGGTAGACTCATTCAGGGTCTATGACCC